GTGTAATGGTGTATGGCATATGGTGCAATGGTAGAAGGTGTATGGTGCTATGGTGTATGGTGTAAGGGGAATGATGTAATGGTGTATGAGGAATGGTGTGATTGTGTAACGTGCGATCGGGAATGGTGTGAATGAATGGTGTACGACATTTCATTGGTTGAAACCGAAGTTCATTTTATTTTAATTTTTCGGATTGTAAACATAAACAATAATAATAATCCTATTGTTCTTTTTTCCCAGTAAAGCAAATTACTTTACTCGTTAGACTCTATGTCATATATATTTAATATACACATATTAAAAAATCTTTTTTTTTCATATTCTTATTTACATTAAACAATGGCTTTAAAATTACACACTTGTGATCACATGCAGTTATCATAAAAGAAAGGATTTTATTGAAACTAGAAGGCGGATAGAAAGGTTATCCACGCATCGGAACAGTATTTTTATATCACGGGTTATCAACATCATTTTTAAAGTTGCTTCGTTCCCCACTTTTGACAGTCTCTTTATAAATATCTGATCGTCATTCACCTATGTTTGCCTTGGATTTACGATTCTGTTTTCCAAAAAATGTTCAAAGGAAAATTGTACAGTGTTATTGCACATAAGGTGTTGTATAATTATGAACAATCTCGTCAATTTCGTTAGATTTGTCTTTACGGATTATAAATGATATCTTGAACGTCCGAAAAAATATACTTATGTGAAACGGAATAAAATATTTGCCACTTGATATTTAGCCACCAACAAAATCAACCAACCGACATAATATACTAACAGTATACTTTTCCTAGAAGAGAACTTCTCATACTTTTCATTATAAAGTACAAATGAAATCTGTCATGTCAGTCACACTGTTGGATGATGAGGTGGAATAGTTTTATTATACAAACCATCCTGAACTACTGAGTTTAAATCATCACACCTCAGCAAGCACGACTAATTTATGCGCAGACCAACCCATCACACAATAGCCGAAAAGGAATCTGTGATGTACCCGTCCATATTCAGAAGTCATGGAAGTGGGAAATACAGATACTGATACTGACTTTAGTGACAGTTTTATATAACGAATACAGAGATGAAATGCTGGCACTCTAAATTAAAGCGGACAAGATTTTGTTATCATTGTATTGCAATGTTGCTGTCATTTGTATTATACAATCCATCCTGACATCAAAACATTGCTGATTTACTATGCGGCTGCCGCTATATAGATTTACATAATAAAGTGCAAATGGTCAGTTTTGTTTGATACTTTAAAATAGTTTTGTTATACGAGTCAGCCTGAGGTATCAAAACTACTGAAATTTTCTTGCGAGACAATATTTTTATTAAAAAGAGGACATGCTGGCTATCTAGATTGATGGGGACAAATTTTTGTTGTAATTGTATTGCAATGTTGCTGTCTTTGTATTATACAATCCATCCTCACATCAAAATATTGCTGATTTACTTTGCAGCTATATGCTGATTTACTATGCGGCTATATAGATTTACATACATGACATAATAAAGTGCTAATATGATCAGCTTTGGCTGATGCTTTAAAATAATTTTGTTATACAAGTCAGCCTGAGGTATCAAAACTTCTAAAATGTTCATGCGAGACAATATTTTGAATAAAAAGAGGACATGCTGGCTATCTACATGTAGATTGATGGGGACAAATTTTTGTTGTCATTGTGTTGCAATGTTGCTGTCATTTAATTTGTATAATGCAATCCATTCTGACATCAAAATATTGCTGATTTACTATGCGGCTATATAGATTTACATAATAAAGTGCAAATATGGTCAGTTTTGATTGATACTTTAAAATAGTTTTGTTATATGAGTCAGCCTGAGGTATCAAAACTACTGAAATTTTCTTGCGACACAATATTTTGAATAAAAAGAGGACATGCTGGCAATCTAGATCGATGGGGACAAATTTTTGTTGTCATTGTGTTGCAATGTTGCTGTCATTTGTATTACGCAATCCATTCTGACAACAAAATATTGCTGATTTACTATGCGGCTATATAGATTTACATAATAAAATGCAAATATGGTCAGTTTTGGTTGATTTGTTTAAATAATTTTGTTATACGAGTCAGCCTGAGGTATCAAAACTACTGAAATTTTGTTGCGTGACAATATTTTGAATAAAAAGAGGACATGCTGGCTATCTAGATTGATGGGAATAAATTTTTGTTGTCATTGTATTGCAATGTTGCTGTCATTTGTATTATACAATCCATCCTGACAGCAAAATATTGCTGATTTACTATGTGGCTATATAGATATACATAATAATGTGCAAATATGGTCAGTTTTTGTTGATGCGTTTCAATAATTTTGTTATACTAGTCAGCCTTAGGTATCAAAATTACTGAAATTTTGTTGCGAGACAATATTTTGAATTAAAAGAGGACATGCTGGCAATCTAAATTGATGGGGATAATTTTTGATGTCATTGTGTTGCAATGTTGCTGTCATTTGTGTTATACAATCCATCCTGACAACAAGATATTGCTGATTTACTATGTGGCTTTATAGATATACATAATAAAGTGCAAATATGGTCAGTTTTTGTTGATGCGTTAAAAACATTTTGTTATACGAGTCAACCTGAGGTATCAAAACTACTGAAATTTTGTTGCGAGACAATATATTGAATAAAAAGAGGACATGCTGGCAATCTAGATTGATGGGGACAAATTTTTGTCATTGTACATGTTGTTTTGCAATGTTGCTGTCATTTGTATTATACAATCCACCCTGACATCAAAATATTGCTGATTTACTATGCGGCTATATAGATCTATATAATAAAGTGAAAATATTGTGGTCAGTTTTGGTTGATGAGTTAAATAATTTTGTTATATGAGTCAGCCTGAGGTATCAAAATTACTGAAATTTTGTAGCGAGACAATATTTTTAATAAAAGGAGGGCAAAAATATTTCCAAATTTTTTAACCCTATATAAATTAACAGATTGACACACTCCCCATTTCCATTCTCAATTTTATAATTATAAGTGCAAATATGGTCAGTTTTGGTTGATGCTTAAAATAATTTTGTTGTACATGTTGTACATGTACCAGTCATCCTGAAGTATTCAATTTTGGCATTGTTTGTCGATTTTATCTGAAAACCAAGTTTATAAGATTTACGATACATGTTAAAACCGATAATAATTGCATTGTAACCAATATCGTTTTTAATTTATAGATAGGCAGATCGCGGATAAATTTGCATTACAAGCAAAGTTTTATGCGTACTTTATTTACAAATACATGTATATATATTTAATCTGTATTGTTCATATAACCATCATAGGCATGATCACGGAGATTTTAATTTTATATATTAATTTACAATATTGAGATCAAAATTCGTTTTTTAAATCAAATAAATAATTTTGTAGTCGCACGCTTTCTTTGAAATTTAATTGCATTATGGGTAATTTCGGATCGTGTAGATAGAATGGGGAATGGTGTATGGTGTAATGTGTAAGGTGTATGGTGCAAAGGTGTAACGTGTATGGTGTAATGGCACAAGGTGTATGGTGTAATGGTGTATGGTGAATGGTGTAATGGTGTATGGTGTGAGTGGGAAGTTTACACCATCCAAGGACTGTATTAGTTTTCAAAAGCAAGGATTTGGCAAGTATTTTTCGGGGAATTTATTATGTTTAATGTTTTTTTACTTGTTATTAAATTTAGCTACCATCTATTTGACCCGAGAGTCACGAGTGTGTCACCTACACAAACATTATATCTGATGATTTCTATTAGAATGAAGGATTTTTCAATTGCTATTTACAGGCGAAATGCAATGTTTAGACAACCACGGGGTACATTGGGATAAATGTTCGGTTATTTGGGGGAAATATTGTATGAACAGTAGAAATAACTTGGTTACTCTGCGTACTAATTGCAATTCACAATTTGAGGATAGAAAATGAATTTGTAGACATAAGATGATTTTTCTCTATTAGATACACCATACCTGTAATAATGTATAAGGAAACATCAATATTATTTCTCTTGTGTGGTTTACAATAAAAAATATGTATTTTTACGCAGCAATTATTTCACGCTGTATTCTCATATCTAAAACCTGATAAACCGAAGTTTATATTGCAACCAATTGTTTTTTTCACTTAACAATGTCACTTTCTAGGTTAGAAGAAATATTGGTCAAGTAAAAGATCATATCTGGCTGCAACAACATATAGTGATGTCAATGAAATATGTTAAAATGGTACAAAACAACTAAACAATTGAGATAATGATTAAAGTAGTAAATTCATGAAACTGGTAAATAGGAGACAATTCTTATTACATAAAAGCCGTATCTAAAAGAAGTCAGAATCTGTTTAATTATGAGAATTAATAAGTAAGTACAAAGAATACTAAAGAATCTTGAAGGATGCAATTTGCCGACTACACGGTGGTCTTGTGCATATTTGATATGAACTTAAAATATATGTTTTGTCAATGTTACGTGATGACGTCCAAAAATAATTTTCTTTGAAATTTAAATAGCATTAAATCAGGTTTAAAAATGTATCAAATTATGCACTTAAATTGTTTATTCAATAAATGGCCTTAGATAAGTCAAGGTAATCAGTTTTATCTAATGATCTCTTCTGGATATATTTAGATTTTGGTAGTCTCACTTGCAATCGTATCACACATTTCGATCTTTTTTTGTAAATCTTAGATCGAACATTATTGTTTAACTCTACAATAGGATTGTTTCTGTATCGAATGTTTCAATCTCTTACTGGACTTCAATGTATTTATAATCGTGAAAAGAATTAAAATCAACCATTACCTGGGTTTATTTTTAACATTTTGAAAAACCATACAGAGACAATGTTATTCTGTTTCTTACATCTTTGTTTACAACGTTGCTGTAGAGATATCATACTATGTAATAATAGGTTTCTGGTTTTCGTTGTACAGGCATGTTAGCATTAACTGAGTAACAGCAGCGGTGAAGTCCTCGTCTGGCTATCTTTGTTCGTTGAGGGTATGTATATAGTTTCTGTATCTTTTATATTGAATGCTTTATGTATACTAATTTGCATTTGCCTTCCAATGTCTTGAATAAAGTACCAGTGATGATATAAATGTTGACAACATGCTTGTCTGGTGTTACAAATTATTACCCTGTTGATAAGTTATGTATTTATATATAGATATGCATGCGTGTATTTGTGTTCTTTAATTAGATGCAACAATTTCCCTTTCTGAAGCATTTTGATTTTACGCCATCATTTTGTTTTTCAATCGTAAAAAATTTAAGCCATTGTAATGATGACGCGCTGTCAATTTAGCTATTGAAACCGATATATTTATACACATAGCATCACCACGATCCTTATATGCCAGTTGACAAATTTATCTACTAGCTTTTATTTTAGGCAGTTAGTCAACTTAAAACTACTGTTTGATCGGTTGTCAGGGGGAATTTTCAAAAGTTCATAGACACTAAAACAAAATTCTAATTAATTATTTCGTGGAAAGGCAGACTAAAAATGTTCAGAGATTGAAGACGAATTATCCTAAATAATGGATATTTTTCTAAGTTATGCATTTTTAAGATACACTTGTAAATATGAAAATAAGAAGATGTGGTATAATTGCCAATGAGACAACTCTTCACCAGAAACTAAAAGACATAGAAGTTGAAAACCATAGGATATCTTACCGCCTTCAACAATGATCAAACCAATACCGCATAGTCAGCTATAAAAGGCCCCGCAATGACAAATTTAAAACAATTCAAACGAGGAAACTAACGGCCTGATTTATGTAAAGTACAATGAAATACAAATATGACAAACAGCAACTAACGACAACCACTGATTAACAGGCTCCTGACGAGACAGACACCAAAAAATGTGGCGGGGTTAAACAAAGTGAAAAAAGAAGTAATAAAAACACAGAACCGACGTGGCAGGGTATATATAAAAAGTAAAATAACAGAACAAAAAAAAGAACTCCAAGGTAAATTCAAATTGGAAATTCCCTTATCAAATGGAAAAATCAAAAACTCAAAAACATCAAACGAATGGAAAAAAATATTCCTGACTGGAAAATGATGGATCTGTATATATCCCTACAACAAAAAAGACGTTAAGTGCAGATCTGACAGTACTAGCAGTTGATACGGAATATTTATCAACAAGGTTTTGGTACCTTCCGATGAACTTTTTTTAGAACAAGGACGAGTCGTTCTTTGACACCCCTGGTTTATCATCTTTCTGCTCAGACACTGGTGACGTTTCACAAAGTCTGAGTAGGAGCTGCAAGCTCTTGAATACCGAATAAGTTGGGTAATGTATATCCCATATGCAGGTGAAGTTGGTATATTGCTCCTAAGGTGGGGGAAATTGATAATTTCAAAATTAAAATCGTCTCGTTTGTCATAGATTCTGGTACTGAAATGACTGTGTATGTCAAATTCGAGATATTAGTCTAAAAATGAGGCGATGGAAGCCGTGTCTGTTGTTTCTTCAATTTCTAGTTTTGATGGATATATTAATGGAACCCAATCAGAAAAGTTCGAATTGTTAATGGAAAGAACATCATCAATAAATCTGAAAGTGAAATAAAATAACCTGGCTTCTTTGATCTTCTTGTTTTTGACAAGTGTCTGAAGGAACTCCGATTCATATGAAAATAAGAAGAGGTCGGCAAGGAGAGGCGCACAGTTCGTTCCCATAGGAATGCCGACAATTTGTTGAAAAAGTCTACCTCCAAATTCAACAAATATGTTGTCAATAAGAAACTCCAGCATACTGATCACTTGTTCCTCTGTGTAGCATGTTTTACCCTTTTGTTCACTATTAACAAAATATGCCTTATGGTATCCCAAAGTAATAAATATATAGCGTATGCTACCATTTTTATGTTGAAAAGCATTGTGGATAATTTCTTTTAGACGGTTTTTCAATTTCACATGGGGAATGGTGGTATACAAGTTTGAAAAATCAAAAGTTTTGATAGAACTAATTTTAGAATTAGTGAAAAATTGATAAATGAATATATTGGTTAACTGAAGGAGATTATTAGATCTTTTTTGATAAAACGTTCATGTGTTGAACCGTCTAAAACTGTTCCTGTGTAGAATTGTCGAATTTCTTGTTGAGTATGACTGTCCAAAATTGTTCTTGGGTAACAGAAGATGTCCGGAAAAATTCTTCATTTCCAGACAGATTTCAGGACAAGTTAGATATTAGTCCCACTTTTCATGTTAAGGCATGATTACAATATAACTACTGTCAATTTAGAAATTATTAGGGAGAAACGTTTACAATAAAACGTTTAATAATGTAAAATAAAATAAATCGTCATTACTTCTCTTAGGTTTTATAACTTGTAATCATTCTTCAATCAATGACATTAATCTATAACTTGTTGATAAGTACAACTGATGACTAGTAAGAGGCAAAGAATAAGATGGTTGATTTTTCTGCATTTAAATTTTAAAATTGGGTTGTTCTTGATCTTGAACAATATCGTGTCTTCTTTTTTTAATGACATTGCTTTAAGAAATCTGTTTTGGAGTTTACCTATCGATTGGGACTATAAGATTTAAGTGGTTTTGCTGCATTGATGTGTGTTGTTTGTTATTTTATGAGCGTTTTTTAGTCAACTGATCATTTTTGAAAGGATAAGTTTAGTAATAGAAAAAGAAAGAATCCAATATTGTTATAATTCCGCCATATGTTTTTATAACAGACCCCAGTGAGGATCATTGTTTGTTGGTTTAACGTATTTTGTCATATTTGAATGCTTTTATCATTTATTTTCGGAATTCCGTATTTAGTCTATGTTTCATTTACAATATAATTAGACGTAGGGTGATTACAAGATTTGTATTTTGAAAGACACTTGTCTTTTGATAAAGACTACTGACCCTTTAATCCAGTATAATGCTTTCCTCGTTTAATGTTTTGTGTCATGGGGTTGATGTTCAATTGACGTGGATCGATTGTCGTTGTGTGATATAAGACAATGCGATATCAAATTTACCATTAATACCGACCATTTTATAAACCAAAAACCTTTATTTATATCTAAGATATTCGTACTAAAATTTTAAAACTCTATTGTATGTGTATATGCTACATGTAGATATTCAGATTAAGACTATAATTCAATCAAATGGAGTGGAAAAACAATACATTGTAACAATTAATTTAATGTTTTGTTTTAAAGCTCTTACTTAAGAATTATATAGCCCTCCATGGATAAATATCTTTGCGTCATTTAAGAATTTGTATTTCCCGTTAGAAATGACGCTGTTAACAAGGTATCTACTGAAACAAAAAGGTTGTTTTTATTAGTAAAGTTGTATCATCTCTCGATATTTTTTCGGACCCCATCGTACACTCGATTGACTGTTAAAGACATCTGATGACCGTTGATACATATCATTTGCACGACTTATTATTTTTTTAAAAGAGTATTTGATTTAAAAACAACGCTTTAACCAAAACATCTTTAAGACTTATTCTTCATATCGGTAAGACTAAAATATGACATCGAAAGTTTTCTTGTCTGCTTTCTTCTAAAAGTACATGTTTTTGCGTTATATCTCGTCTCGCTATTTTTGATAAGTACCACCTTTGATAAGTACTTTGTATGACGACAAATTTTCACTTTTATACTCGTACTCTGAACAACAAATTTATTAATTTTGTAAAAAAAGTTTACTTCCGTACTCTTAACAACAAAATCATTATATGTAAATTTACCTGTCTGCGTTGTTTAATTTAACGCCATTTTTGTTCCAGGTTAGAGTTTTTTTTGACACTGTTCCTACATTTTTTACTACCTGTAACATCTATGTTATATAGTCACCTACGTTTTAATATTGTATTGATATTGTGTCATAGATCAAACTCATTCGTTCAGTGTATGTTTACTTGCTTATGTTCAAAAGTCTTTTTGATCGAGTTAAGCCATTTCAGTTGATATTTTATAGTGTGTCTTTTTATGTTGTAATTTGACACTACTGTTTCATGTTAGGGTGAAGGATGGCGCCTGTTAAAACGTTTAATCCCGCTGCATTTCTATGCACCTGACCTAAGTCAGGAGCCTGTTGTTCAGTGGTTGTTGTTTGTTGGTGTGGTTCATAAGTGTTTCTCGTTTCTCGTTTTTTTTTATAGATTAGACCGTTGGTTTTCCTGTTTGTATTGTTTTACACTTGTCATTTTGGGGCCCTTTTTAGCATGCTGTTCGGTGTGAGCCAAGGCTCCGTGTTGAAGGCCGTTCTTTGACCTATAATTGTTAACTTTTTATACATTGTGACTTGGATGCAGAGTTGTCTCATTGGCACTCATACCACATCTTCTTATTTATATGTATCGTTCAAAACACACTCTTACCGTATACCCTATATTAAAATTATAAAACACAAGGTACTGCATTCTTATCAAACTGATTCTTCTGGTGACTTTAGTTTGGTTGTGGATTGTATTAAGAAGAAGTGAACATCATGTATTGTTCGTGTTAAATACGTATATGTTCAATTGATTCCAGTTCAGTCTCACAAAAAGTACAATATGGGTTTTGAACTAACCCTATTTTGTTTAAAAACTTATTTGTTGCCAGAATTTTATGATTTATTCTATACTGAAGCCATTGTAGTTTAGTATTTTTTGTTATAGCAAATGGTAGTTGAAAAATCTTTTGACAGTTCTGATTTTCTAAACCTGATGTTGCTTCCCATCTTTTTACAAATGTAGAAACAGTGTTGTTTTTGTTAAGCTCTAAATACATATCTTTAGATCCCTTTTTGCTTTTGAGAATGGTCTTTATAACTGATGGTATGAAAGGAGATACTAATTTATAATCTCCCTATTAAATTTTTCGGAAGTCTTAGCATAGAAATTATGCTATTATATTTCATGATGTCTAAAGTCATCTGAAAACACTCCTGAAACTGATAAAAATTTAGAAAGGTACCATGCTCATCAACAATATAATTTACATGTAGAATACCTTTACTATGCCAGT